AGATAATTGATACAGCTAGTAAAAAGTCTGAATAATGGTTTATATATGAAGTAAAGTATTACTTACTGTTCAAAGAAGAGTTATTCAAGTAAACAAGCAACTTAGATTCCAGAAAATCCAGCAATGAACTACTGAAATGTCCGTTAAAATAAACTCATGCCAAACAGAAATATTTCGGACACACAAAGTCCATGAGAGATGTGGATTTTCTCCACTATTGATATCAGTATTTACTCAATGTGGGTTTGAAATATATGAGAGAATATGCTTCTGAACTCTACATGAGCTATCTGAAATCATTCACATTGCTCTCTTAGCTAGGTTAAATGAAACCTGATCTGGATTCCACTTGATCATAAGACTGGAATGCTGAAAATGCTGTAATCTATTTATACATCAAATTGAAGAAATGTTGCGTGTCTTTAAATTTCACTGCATTCCGGTGTCTTAGCTAAATAGCAACAGTTTACAAACTGTTTCATGTTCAAACTGAGAAAGAAAAGACAGACCAATCTGACTTATTTATCCTAAAGCCAGGATTGATTCCTGGCTTTTAAACTATGGCCCAAACCCAGGTCTTCTTTGTGCCTTCCCTAAAAGTGTTGTTCCTGCAGCAGTAATTCATCTCTACTGCCAAAACATGGTAGTTGCCTTATGATGACTTTCAAATCCATACTTCTTCAGCATCAAGAACATACTACAGTCCCAAACTGGATTTGCTGCTCGGATCTTGCTCATACATCTGCCTCTAAATCACAAATGGTTCAAAATACAGCAGAGAGCAAAGCTGAGAACAACTGTGTAAATAAGGACAGCAAAATCATACAGATGAAAACTACACAGGGGCTTATAGAGCCCAGAAGGGATTGGCAGTAGTTCATCTCTCCACAGACCATCTCAGAGCACCCTGGTGAAGCAGTACTTTCCATTTCTCCAGAATGCTGTCATTGCCCTCAGTTATTTATGGAACCCTTCAGGTGTGCACAACGACCCATTATTCTAACTAGAGGAACTGCTCCCATTCAAACACCACAACCAGGTGCAGCACAAGATCTATGAGTAAAGAGAGGTGCCCATCATGAAGAAGAGGACAAATGCTAAAGACAGTACAAATGTACATCCCAAATTTTAATATGTCTCAGTGAAATAAAACACAGCTCCCACTGACACTTGATGGGTTTTGCCATCGACTTGAAAGGGGCAGGATCAGGCTAACAACAACTGATGAGATTTCATAACATTTGTTCGTTTCTACTTGCACTTTCAATGTGTTTTGATGTGTGTAACAGTTTCCACTCGTTCTCAGTTTTTGGTCATATAAATTTTTTTTCATTAGTTTTTGGATTTAGTGCCCATTATTTTCCATACAGAAGACAATGACCATGGCAAAGACAAAAAAGAATAATTCTGTTATGGTCAGGAGAGAGGAAATTTCTGTGCTCTTTGTCACATGAGACTTTAAGAAGAGCCTGAAGCTAAATACTGCAGTTACTATTTGTGGTTCTCTGGATCGTTAGTGGCCTTTATAAATGCAAAAATCCTACTTAGACATTCAAATAACTCATTTGCCCTTTCCTGTGCCCTTCTTCTCTCCAGCAGTCTGTAACCTCCAATTTGTCTTCCAGGTCTTGCAGTCACTGTCTTACAGCTTGAAATTCAAAAGGACTTGAAATTCAAATTACCATTGCATTTCAGTGCAGTTTGAGACCATTTGGGGTAATTTAGAGGAGTTTTAAAAACAAGAAGAATTTAGGTAAATGTCTTATTGTCTAGCACCAGTAGTTTCACAAAATAGAAGATGTACAGTTTACAGTGAAGGAAAGGAATTTCTGATATTACTGTTTATTTTAAAATTTAAGATATTAATGCAGGATTTTGTACAAGAATCATCTGAAAGGGGATGCACTCTTAAAATACCCAGTGTTTAGTAACCCCTAAATTTCTGTTCAAGTTTGAAAAGACCTTGCTGATAACTGCTTATCACTTGTCCATTACTGTGCCAGTATGCTACTATTGCTAAGGCAGTATCACATGGCCTGATCAAAATTCAGGTCTCAGTACTCAACACACAAAAAAAGGCAGGCAGAGCCCTCAATAGTTCTCTGTATCTGCAGATAAGGCAGGTGATAGATGGGAGAGAAAACAAGATGAAATTAAAAGAAGGAAAAACAACTTGTAGAAGGCCACAATGCAGATAAATACTAACTGAGGGGTAAGACTGAAGTTAGAAGACAAGTCCCCTGAACTTTTCCTAGTGACTTCCCCACAAACAGTTTCAATCTGGACTCCTGACAGTTGGGTAGATACCTACCTGTTGGATCACATGGTGTCCTCAGACTAGCTTTAGTCTTTCAACACTAATCACCTAATGTTATTAAAGGCTGAGATATCTGAACCCATGCATGCTAGATGCCAATAAACTGACTTCCTTTAATATTCCTACAGCTTTCTTTAAAAAAAAATAATTGCATTTTTAATGTTAACATTAGGGATTTTCAAAATTTAAATGCACATATACACCTATTAATAGATGTCTCTATACACCCATGCATTCACTGCTGGGTGTGAGCACATGTGTAGCTGTGTACACTCCATAAGTGTTTAGGGGTTTAGTGCACAGCTTTTACCCCTGTCTAAATGACATACAGATTTCAGCCACCATCAGTGGGAAGCACCACCTTTGGACCATTTAAAATCATAGAAACAAACAAACAGAACATTATAAAGCCATTTTCACAGGATACATACATGTGGTCAGATCTTGAAGCTTTGTAGCTTACACTCCAGAGGAGCTTCATTTTTGGTCTTCTATCACCTGTGGGAGCATTTCTGCCCTCAGTCGTTGAGGCTGAGGGATTGTGTGCAAGATGTGTGTGTGTGTCACATGACTAGTGCATGATCTTTAAATGCCAAAATATGCAAATTCACCTGCAGTCCTCAGACAGGAGAACCACAAGTGTGGGTTCTCACTGCCACTGAAGTATGTATGGGGATCCTCCTAGTGAAGTGTGCAGTGGTGAAGGTGATGGAGAGAGTGGGGGAGAGTTATCCAAACCTCTGTCAGGCAGCAGAGCAGCACTGAAAAGGAGCCTACAGCCATTCCAGTACCTGCTCCATCTGCCTTGGCCAGGTCTCACAAACCAGGCACAGGCACACAGACACTAGGGAGGGTTCCACACTGCTGGCACTCACACATACCCAAATAGGAGACACGTGGAAAATTTCTTTTAACTAACTGTGGCAAATGTTTTTCTTGAAGGAAAAAAGGAATATATACATGCTTGACACTTAATAAAAATATCAGTATGTTTGTGCCCAGCATACTGGAATATTGTTCAGCACTAATTTAACCTTGCAAAAATATTATCAGTGTAATGCTGCCAAGGCTATTGTGTGGATTAGTGTGTGGCTCTTGGCTAACCTGGCCACGGGCTGCAGCAATTTTTATACTTGGCTTTTCAGAAACCTTTCTGGCTTGCTGGTGAATCAGTTCACCTTGTTCATTCTTGTTCCTCATCCTTTTCCTATTTTACCTTTGATTAATTTCCCTTTTTCCTTTGCTAGACCGCAGTGAATGTCAGAACAGCCCATTCCTCACCGCAGTGAGCCAGTGCGTGCCCAGGTGGCCAAGGCCGGGGCCCCTGGGCTGTACCAGGAACGGCGTGTCCAGCAGGCCCTGGGCAGGGACTGTCCCCTGCGCTGGCACTGCTGGGCCCCTCCTCGGGTGCTGTGCCGGGTTCTGGGCCCCTCAATTCAGGAAGGACATTGAGCAGCTGGAGCGTGTGCAGGGAAGGGAGCGGAGCTGGGAAGGGGCTGGAGCAGCAGGAGCAGCTGAGGGAGCTGGGGGGGCTCAGCCTGGAGAAAAGGAGGCTCAGGGGGGACCTTCTGGCTCTGCAACCCCCTGACAGGATCGGGAGGGGATCGGGCTCTGCTCCCGGGGAACAAGGGACAGGACATAGTCTTACGCTGCACCAGGGGAGGCTTAGGGTGGACATTAGGAACAATTTCTTCACAGAAAGGGTGATTAGACATGAAGGGGCTGCCCAGGGTGGTGGGGGAGTGCCCATCCCTGGAGGTATTTAAGGTAAGACCGGACGTGGCACTCAGTGCTCTGGCCTAGTGAGAAGCTGGCGATCGGTGAGAGGTTGGAGTGGATGGTGGCGGAGGTCCTGCCCCCCTCAGCGCTGCCGCGCTCCCGAGCTCTTCCCGGCTTTAGCTCCGCTCCAGCGGCTGACGCGGGCCCAGCGCGGCCCCGCCGCCAGGGGGCGCTCGCCCGCGCGCCGACGGGGCCACGCACTCTGCTCCGGCCGGGCCCGCGCTCGGCCGGGCGCGACCATCCCCCGAGGCGGGGGGGGCTCGGCGCGGGGCGCCACATCCCAACCGTCCCCCCGCACGCCGCGCTGCCCCGCCCCCCCCCCCGCAGGGCTGCCCTGCGCTGCGCCGGGCCATGACGTCAGCGCGGCGGGGGCGTGGCCGCGGCGCTCCCAGAGTGCAGCGCACAAGTTGAGCCCCATCTTGGGCGAGCGGAGCCGCGGCCCGAGCGCGCTGCGGGAGCTCCGCGGCCGGCGCAGCGCAGCGGGGCCGCCCGCGCCCGCCCAGCGCCGCTGCCTGGGCCGCCGCGGCGCCGGCACCCCGCCCGGCGGCGGGGCTTTGCCCGTGGGGCGAGCCCGCGGGCCGGTTGCGAGCAGGATGCGCCTGGCGCTGGTCTCCAGGTAGAGCGCGGAGTCAGCGGGGGGGGGGACGGGGCCGCCTGGGCCGCGCCCGGCCGGCGCGGGGCCCCTGGCGCGGGGCGGGCCGCGGGCCCGCAGGAAGCCGCGGGGCGCTCGGAGCGGCGGCGAAGAGGAGGAGGAGGAGGAGGCCCGGCCGCGGGAAGAGAGCTGCGGACGGGGAGGAAGAGGAGGAGCCCCGCCGCCCCCCGCCCGCCGCAGGAAGCCGCCGGAGGATGTGCGGTAGCGCTGGGGGCCCGGCCCGCACGCCGTGACAGCCCGCCCGGCGCTGCGCTCGCTTCGCCGCGGCCGCCGAGCCCCTCCCCACCGAGGAAACATGTCCAAGATGCCGGCCAAGAAGAAGAGCTGCTTCCAGATCACCAGCGTGACCACGGCGCAGGTGGCCAGCAGCATCACCGAGGACACCGAGAGCCTGGACGACCCGGACGAGTCCCGCACCGAGGACGTGTCCTCTGAAATCTTTGATGTTTCCCGAGCCACCGACTACGGCCCTGAGGACGTTTGTGAGCGGAGCTCCTCCGAAGAGACTCTCAACAACGTGGGTGAGGCCGAAACTCCCAGCAGCGTCTCTCCCAACCTCCTTTTGGACGGGCAGCTGGCTGTGGCTGCTGCTGGGCTGGCTGTAGCCCCCAACGGGGGGGCTGTGCCCAAGAGCTCTGCCGTGCCTCTGCCAGCTGCTGCCTCTGGCACTGCCGTGGGGGGAGGCAGCAGTGCTCAGGCCGTCCTGCCCTCCACGGGGCCCTCTGCGCCCGCCGCCCCTGGCACCATGTCTCAGACGGCGGCTGCTGCGTGCAGCTCCCGCTTCAGGGTGATCAAGCTGGACCACGGTACTGGGGAGCCCTACAGGCGAGGCCGATGGACGTGTATGGAGTACTATGACCGGGACTCCGATGGTGGTGTTCTGGGCAGGACTGGAGATTGCATTAGGCACAGCAGCACCTTTGAGCAGGCTGCTCAAGAGAGGGACAGTGGCCTCGGTGCCACAGGAGGTTCTGTTGTGGTCTCGGCTGTGCCAGCATCAGCCCATGGCCCCGATTCTATAGCTGACAGTTCCCTGGCTGCTGTGTCACAGCTGCTCCAGACAGAGAAAATGAACCAGTCCTCTCTACAGCAACCTAGTTTTGTCATTGGGCAACCACAGCAGCCGCAACAGCCCGTAGGTGGGGCCATGCCTCAGAGTACTGCTCAGCCTGCGTTTTCTGGGGCTTCGGGAGCAAGTCAGCAAATGATGGTGCCACAGCAACCGCAGCCACAGGTAAATCCACAGGGTGTTGCACAGGCTGGACCCAACGGGAAAGGCATGGCACCTCCAAATGTGACAGTAGGGCAGCCGAGCGTTCCTGTGGCCCAGCAGCAGGTGCAGCAGGCAAGCATACCAGTGACTCAGCCTCAACAATTTGCTTATTCTCAGTCCCAGATTCCACCAGTGCACCTACTGCCGACGCAGCCTCCTGGGCAGGCCGAATACATGCAGCATGTGACAATTATGCAGTCTCAAGGAGCTGTTCAGCAGGCTACTACAGGTTCTGCTCCAAGTACTGTGGCCTCTAGCCTGCCTGTGGGGCAGGTGATGGGCCAAAACCCCTCGCCTGTGGGAGCACCAGTGATGGGGGTGTCAGCACAGCCCGGTGAAGCAGTCGGCCAGGGGTCGGGGTTGCTGCAGAGTGGCCAGGCACAGGCTAGTCAACCTGCCGTCCCTCAGCCAGGAGGTGTGGTACAGCCGGGCCTTGGACAACCAGGGGTTGTGCAACAGAAATCTGTGACTCAGCATCCAATGGGGGGAAGCAGTCAAGTGTCAGGAATGCCTGGTGCTCCCCATGCTGTGGTCCCTGGAGTTCAGAGCGTGCCTGCGGTTGTGCCCGGTACAAGTGTGCCTAGTGTGTCCACCACTGCTTCTGTCACTATGCCAAACGTCCCTGTTACACTGGTGCAGTCCCAGCTGACGAGCCACCCTTCTGCCAGCAGAAGCACCGGCGCGGTCCAGCCCCAGCACGTGGGACACTCGATGATGCAAGGAGCGCCCAGCGCACCCGCCAGTCTGCCTCAGGCAAACCTTGGACAGTTTCAGACCCAGGCCCAGTCTGTAGTAGGCCAGATTGATGATACTAGAAGAAAATCAGAACCCCTACCTCAGCCACCCCTTTCTCTTATAGCTGAAAATAAACCTCTTGTGAAGCCTCCCATTCCAGACACTCTAGCAAATCCTCTTCAGTTACCTGCAAGTACTCCTATCAACAGTCTTGCTAGCTCTGTGTTTGGCATATCCATTCCTGTTGATGGTGATGAAGACAGGTATGCATTATTTTATAATACCTTAAAAAATAACTGGGCTTTTGGGGGGGAGGAAACAACTTTTGAGTTATTAGCAAATGCTTTATGTAAATTCATATTTTCAGAAAGTCACGCTGAAGTTTTAAGAGCACAAACCACAGTGAAGTATTTAGGCAAGTAGTGTACTTATTCTTCTTAGGGTGTGAGTGCAATTACTTTTTGTGCAAAACGGGGCAGAAAGTAGCCTGAAAGCTGCTTAATGCACAAATAATATGAACTGTTCAGAATCAAAGACTGAAAGCTGTCTTTCTGCAGCCAGTGACTCGAGATACGAGGAGGGCTGTTCTTTCCCCTGAATGCATCATAAAACACTCCACTGACAGCTGGGTTAAAGTGGGTTTATCAACACCACTGTACTGCAGTGCTGTTAAATGTGTGGTGCTGCCCAAGGGCCATCAGGGGAGGCATCTTGGGAAGCTTGGGGCTTTTAACACACATTCTTTATTTTTATCCTCCTGTGGAGTTGGCTTTTTATAGTATCAGTAAGGAAAATACTTGCTCCTGGGTATGGATTTGTGTGGAGATCCTTACACAGAGAAAGCTCTACAGAGAATGGTCCTTTGTATTGAGAAAACAGACACCACTTGGGCGAAGATGTGGACATGGTGGGAAAGTACAACCTTACAGTGAGTTTTCTTTATTGGAAAGTAATTTGGAACTGTGAGTTGTAACAGAGGTGTGTGGTGTGGGCAGACTCATCAGAAGGCCTGAGAGAGGGATCCAGTGTGTGGCTGCTGTTCCCATAGATGTGTCAGACTGCTCTGAAGGGTCCTGGCCAAAGCTGCTTAATTGACTTCTCTGAGAGAAGACTTTGAGGGAAAGCAGTGTTTGAGCACTGAATGAATGTCATTGACATTTACTGTTGGGGTTGCTGCAGTTTGGAGGAAGGAAATACGTGTGGGTTATTTGTGTTTGTATTTTTAAAGATGGGAGTTAGGCCATTATGAACAGGTCTTGTGGTGAATTTCCCTGTAAGCCTTTCCTCATCTGGGGACAGCACTGGACTTTCCAGATAACACAGTCAGTGTGGCTCGGAGCATGTTTTAGTAAAGCAGCTGTGTCTGTGGGGTTGGGGTGCAGAGGATGGAGAGGGCACCTCAAAGTGAGTGTTTGGTGAGTTCAGGCTGCAGATTTAGTGCAGGCCTGTGCTCACTGGAGCTTTGGCTGCTGCTGTGTCTAAGAGTAACTGGTGATGCCTTTCTGCAGGGAAAAGCCATGGTTTGGAGAGCTGTGCTTGTTCTGATTAAAGTGGTAAAGGACTGACAAGAAAAAGGGAAACAGTTAAAATTTCCTCACAGTTTGCCTACCTTAAGAGGATTGCTGACCCGGATGACAAACTGCCTTGTGCAAATAAGGTTAGATTTCGAGCTGGTGGGTTCTTTTCATAGCTCAGTGTTTTATCAGATGATTCGTTTGGTGCTTAATCATTCTGTTGATTAAGGAGTCAGAAAGAAAGGAATGCATTTTGCGTTTGTTTTGCATAGCTTCTAACACTTAATATAAATTGTAGTAACGAACATGATTATCTGTGACAAGTGAATCGCTTTTATGTAACAGTAAGGAAAAACTTGCCCTACTTACTCAAACTGGGGGCTGCTAACTTTGTGTTGCACTCTAGTGAGGCAGTTCTTGGTGCTCTTATCCAGAACAGTGATTTTTAAAGCTGTTTTCCTAGTTTAGTCTTTGAACTTGCCAGCTTGCAGCAGTGCTTCACTTGCTGTTCATTTCTAAAGAGACTCTTGCAGACACTTCACCGTGAGAACCACGAGTAAGAAATGGAAATGGGCTCTGAAGGCAGCTTGCTCTTTTTGACAGGCTGTGGTGTTCAGTAGGGAAATGAGCTTGTGGTTATCAGAGGAGGAGCACACAGGTCTCGTTTGTCACCTTCTGCACTGGGTGATAAAACTGTGCAGCATGCTGGGTGCTCAGGAAGCCAGGAGCACACCTGTGCTGTGAGAGTCTCTCCCAGATGGGAATGGCTTTCTTCAGTAGTGACCCTGGTAAGCTGTGAAGGCTCACCTTAAATAGGCCTAGACCTCATACAACGTCGGAGATCTCTACAGAGCCAGTAGATCCAAGTTTATTCTTTGCTCCCCTCAACCAGTAGCCTGACTTCCACTAGTTTCAGACAAAGAAAGGTAAGAATAAAAGCCTAGCAGCTTGTTAAGGCTGTTTTATCGCTTGGTTTTTGTGTGCTTTACTCTGTGAGAAGGTTTTACTGTAAAAGTGTCTCCTGCTTGTCTGCCGTTCTCTTCTTGCTCCTGCTGTTTTCCTCTTTCCAGCTATTTAAGGTTTACCACTGCTCCCATGGGCTTTGCCCAGCTACTTTTTCTACTGCAGTCAGTGGTGAAATAGTTAATGAAGACCTTCAAATGTCATTAATAGGCTGGGGGTTGACACTGATAAGGCTAATAGGGTGCAAAGGGAGCTGATACATCATGAGTCATGGTTTGTGCCGGCAGGTCCAGGAAGTTAACGCTCGGCTTAGTTTGGAGAGGTTACTTGGTGGTCATGGGAGCTAGAAATCTGTAGAAAGCATTTTTCTCTTACTATTAATGTGCAATGTCCCCAGGAAGGGGGGTCAGTGTGTAGGCAGGTATCTGCATTTCTTCCGACACCTTCAATTATATTTAAATACTTGCATGTTCTTGAAGCTTGACAAACTTGTATCGATCATGCTCCTGTAGTGATCTTCTAACACAGTGACTCATCAAGGAATAGTGTATAGCTCTCAATATCCTGAATTTATCTAGAAAGTCCTTCACCATTCTGAATATGAGGAGGAACTGTTCTAAAGGTAGCATAGTTAAGATGGAAATTCTTTGAAAGCAGCATGTCAGGAATACAGTGAGGGTGAGACGGGGCTGATGTAAAAAGCTGGTCGGTTCACATATTTCTGAAAAAGGTCTTTTGTATTATTCCCATCTTATGGTTTGCTGTTTTAAATCAAACTACACCTAGGGTAGTTAGGAGTGGAGGTGTAAGGATATGTAGCCAGATAAATAGATAGATAGAACTGTGTGTTTATAGATGTAGAATGACTTTCTTCCAAGCCATTGCCTGAAGACTTTTTAATTTCCTGTTCCCATAGTCCAGTACGCTTTGACAGCAGTCTAGACAGAACTGTGGTTTTTTGCATTGACCTGATGAATAATGAAGAATCAATTAATCAAGATATCGTACCTGGAAGGGAAGAGGGGGTAGGTAGGTAGGCAATCCAAAAGAATGAAAAAAAAAAGAAAAAAGAGAAAAAAGCCTTTGGCATGTCATACCTTCCTTGAAAAGCAAAGCTGGTTTTTCAGTTGATGTGTCCAAATTGCTAAGCTCTTAAAAAGAGAAATTTGTTGTGTGGGACGTTATGGAATATCTACAACATAACAGTTTTCCTCTCTAAATGTGGATGCAAGTGGTATAAACTGCAGCACTATTCAAGGATGGGCGAAGTAGTACTGTTACTGAGGCAGATGTGGGTATTGCAGTCCACTTTGAACGGGAGCCTAACAAATACTGAAAAGACGCAAGTAGAACTGGATCTCAAAATTGCCCCGACTCTTCATTTGCTGGACTTGAGCAGCTGGACTAATTATTTTGGAGGGAGGGCAGTTAGATCACCTGTGAGGATTTTGGGATCAGTGTGTGTCAGGTTCTCTGCTCACCTTTCTGCCTATGTGTACACAGATTTGTAGCTGACAAGCAGAATATTTCAGCTGGCTTAATAACTTTATTTTGGCTCTTGGGGGAAAAGAAATATGTTGCCTCTGTTAAAAGAATGTTACTGAAAAAGCTTGTTCAAACCTCCTACATGTTTGGCAGACTTTTGGGGCAAAATATTACTAGGGCTGTTGGAAAAAGAGCAGAGTATAGATCATTTTCCAGAGATAACTGACTGGCTTGAGCTGTTCCGGCCGTATTCCAGGAACGCTAATGAATGGCTGCAATTGTGAACTGTCAACTACAGCAGCTGAGTTGTTGAGAACCTGATTGTGCAGGGCTGTCTCCCAGCTCAGCTAAATCACATATTTGCATGGAGCACTAACTCTTGGTAGAACTGCAGGCTTAAGACCATCTTCATCATATAAGGACAAAACCAGGCACAGGATCACTTAGGTGTTGCCCTAGATGCATATTCTGTTGTGCTCCTAAAGGAAAACAAGTGTTCTGCAAATACATACCAGTACGTGACCCTTGAATTGCATTGGTATCCAGTATTGTCCCTTTCTTCACCTTGCTCATAAGCCTAGTAGGGGTTTGAGCTCTCCTGCATCTGCAGGCTTGTTCTCAGCTCTCCTCCTGGAGGCCTGTGTTTGCGAGTGTGTGTAGGAGCAGATGAGAATGAACCTGGGACAGACATGCTCCAGAGCCAGGAGTGCCTTCGGTTTGACAGCCAGAGCTACAGCTCAGTTTGAAAACCAGTTGAGCTGGGACTGCAGTTGTTGGCAGCAAATGATGGTTAATGCAAACAAACTCCAGTTAGTTGTGTTCAGTTCTTGCTGTATTTTCTATAACAAAAATTACCAAAGGTAACTGCAGCACCGCACCAGTTTCTGAGTAATGGAAAGCCTGTCCTGCTGTGCAGTCAGTTTTGGAGTGGTGCAAGATATCTAAACAGAACTGCTGTTGCTCATTTGACAGTGCTGTTTCCCAGCTTAAACATTCAAATGCCTTTGTTAAGGAGGAGTCAGTACAATCTTAGAATTAATGAGACAAAGTGTTTCAGATGAGAGAGTTATTGAAAGGAGGAAATGGGGACACTGTTCAGTTTGTTTCACAGACTGTGGTGGCCAGCCCTGACACAAGCAGTTCCCTGGACCTTGGACTCCCAGGTGTTCTGCTCAGCTGCTGGGGGTTAATTTTTTCCTGCTTCCCTATAGAAGAGTGCAAATGTTCCATAGCTGATTTCTGAATGTTGAATACATATTTGTTGCATGGCAGAAATAACAGCATATGTTTTATGGAAGCTA